TATTTTATCCATAAGAGCATAATTTTGCATAATATCATGTTTAAGGCATATTTTGAGATTTTAAGAGCATATTTTAACTTTTTAGTGGATATTTTGATATTTTTTGATTTATATTTTTATTTAGGTTTTTTTAATTGTTAGATACATATTTTCCAAAAAAAATTTTATTGGATGAAATTTGTACCAAAGTTAGTACTATTGGATAGTACGCCAGGCACATCTAAACTCCTTTGGAGAAGTTTTGCTAGGACCAATAGGTGAAAAGTTACATTCATTTGAAAAAAACCCTGTATGATCAAAATGTCCAATTTGACCGCCTCAAACTCTGGCAGTTCTTGACCGATAGAGCTGAAAATTTCATCCAAATCGATTTTTTGAGTTGGGTCACTTGACACGAAATAGCCCATATAGCATATTTAAGTTTTATTGAATTAAAGTGGGTCTTAAAGTGTATCCGATTGGAAACTTTTTAAAGATTTATATTGAAGTTTTATTGAAGTATATATTATTATATTGAAGTATATTATTATATTGAATTTACATTTAAAATTGATTTGTACAAACTATATTAGGTACATTAGAGTTATAACCAAAATTAGACCCTATTGTGGTTCTTTCTGGAAAATTAATTTTGGGTACTAAATTTGGAAAAGGGATAAACCACTGCTCCTATCCTCGCTTTACAATTACATTTGATATTATCAAGAATTTCCTACTTTGCACAGAGTCACATTTAGTACATTCTGATACGATAAAAGTAAAATTATACATACATTATATTAAGTATATATGTTCACAATAAGAATTAGAACAATTCCACCAAAAAGAAGGCGTTAAATCATGCCCACGCCCACTTCCTATTTTAGTGCTAATTTTATTGCTATTCTTGAGTACAATAAAACAGCAATAACTGTGAAACAAACAAACTAAATCAAGCCTTATAAAATCAGAATACTTTAAATAAGTAGGCGTTGTTATAATAACGACACGCCTACTTTTTATATAGAACATTAATGCACGTACATGAAAAAATGTAATAGTCAATACAAATATTTTAATTATATGTATATGTTAAGCCTAATGTTGATTTTAGTAAAATTTTGCTTTAAATAGTGATCAAGAGAGAATTCTTAAAACACAAAATTAAAACCAGCAAACAAAGGGGGCGTGTACGTGATATTACCGCCCACATTTTTTGTGGGGTTAAAACTAAGTTTATTCACTTTTGTTTACATCATACTATTTGACCTTAACTAGTAATTAGAAAAATTTTATTTTGAAAGTGAAGCAAAAATCGGTATTTTAGTAGGAAACCTTGAAAAAACTTAAATCGCTTTTAACTTCGTTAGAACACGTTTAAATTGAAAAATAAGTTTATTTTGTGATCACTCATACTTCCCATCAGAGACATATTCCTCCATGAGCTAACACTTTATTGGAATTTTTTCGATGTTGCATTGCTATTGAAAGACTTTGGTCACATATGTATATAAAAATTCGCGAAAATTTAACTTTTTTATTTTGACTTTTGTCGTTCTAGATTGAAAAAATGTGGCACTGTGCTTTGTATTAAAAAAATTAAATTTAGTTTAGAGTAAATAAAGCTTTTGTCGCGGAAACTGTTTTAAAGCTCAAGAAATGTGAAATCGACGTAATTTTTAATATTCTATGTGGAGTCGATAGGGCCGATCAGACCCTGAAAATGATTCTAAGTCGATTGTTTCTATGCGTTACAAAAAGATCCATTGTGTCGACAGAATATGACAATTAAGGTCATTGGCTATTATTATTGTTAACAATCCCTGTGAGAGCTTCGTAGATCGAAACCCTGATTAATAGGTTAACTAGAAATTGTGATTGTCTAGTCCACAAATGTCAATAATAAACCGAATTTTAGAATTCAAATTTTCAAAAAAATTAAATTACACAGGCCAACGATGAAAAACTTTTTGAAAAATTTTCACTAATCCTAGTATTGTTTGGTGTGCTGATTACGAATATGGAAATAAAAAAATCGTATCACCCATCAATTTTCCACATTTTATAAAGCACAAAATTCAGACGGCAGTTTCTAAAATCCAGTTTCAAACTTTTAGCAATTTTTTAAAATTTTAAGAAAATCTCCATGATACTTATGGACTATAAAGAGGGAATAAAATTGTAAGAAAATTAGATCGATATCTCTTACATTTTACTGGTACCTGCGATTTGAATTTTGAGGATTTCGAAGAAAACATTTTTTTTGTTAAAATTTTTGAAAAACAGGCTTTATTCTTTACTATTATATTATTTTATATAAAACTTTTAAATAATATATAATACAAGATAATAAGAAACAAACATTTAAAGTTTCAGAGAAATAGATTAATTTTAACCCTTAAACTGTAAAAGCCCAACTCAAGGTATGCAATATTGGGAAATCCTCTTGAAACCATAGTAAAATATTATGTATTTTGTTTTCAACCGATTAAAATGAAACTTAGGAAATACATATAATGAAGACCCGTATTGACGATGGTTCCGAAAAAAGTCATATGAACCCTTAAACGGAAAATTATTTTTATAATTATATAAAATGCCCCTAATATCCCAGCAAAAGTAAAACGAAGTACTTCCAAAAGAATAACTTTTATCACCACTTCAAAAGCACTAATTGGATTTTTTTTACCTTCTGAGGAAGTGATATGTTTAAAGACTTAAGAAGAAGCGAAAATAATTCTACTTTTTCAATGTTGAAGATTTTTATTCTTACATTTTTATGAGATAAAAAATGTTATATTTGAGCTTTTGTTAGGGTAATAGAACTATGACCCTAATTAATGTTAATATTATTTAGGTAAAATTATATAATACTACAATTTCACTTCACTTCAAAAAAAAAAAAAAAATAGCATTAAAATGACTCCTTGAGAATGCCTTCAGAAGTAGTGAATTTGGAATCAAATAAAAAGGACATCCTTTCTATGACAAGCCTGTGTTAAAATCATCACTTCTTCAGGTCTTTTTCAGTATTTCCATGGAGTTAATTCTACTTCTTTTTCGCTTCTTTGGAAGATCTTTTTTTGCTGGGATATGAACAAAATATTCATTACCATTTAGCGAGAAATTTGTGGGTGATAGAAAAACCGAATATGAGTTTAATGTATTTTAAAAATACATTAAATAATAGTCCAATTGGTTTTAAAAGTTTTCACAAACTTTTATTTCGTTGGCTTGTGTTATTTATCAAAATTTAATAGTAAAAACTAAATATTTTTCACTAAAAATTCATTTCGTTTTACTTAAAATTCGAATTTAGACTAAATATTACATATCGAGGCACTATATTCAATATTTTCTATCTCAAATTATACAAGTTTTTTTTCTTCTACAATATTATTCTAGAGCAATATTATTTTGTAGTTATTATTTGCAAAACTATTTCCAATTTTTAAACTAACAGATAGAGAGTTTTTCATAAAAACTTTTAAAAAACATAAAATTTTATAGCAATTTTTGGGAAAAAAAACAAAGTGCTATAAAATTGCCATTATTAGCTGAATATTTTGCCATCAAAATCTTATTTTCTTGAAACTTAGAGATAGCTACTATTGAATATAGTCCCTCGTTCCTGACCATATGTGTTTGTAAATACAGAAATCTTTAACTGTCCATAGAAAACTGTAAAACGATATTTTCTTTCAAACCATATCAAATTAACTAGTAATTATTTTTAAAATTTATTTTTGAATATAATTTTCCTAGAATATTTTTATAAACATTTTTTTGCAAACAACAATATGTCACTCATTTAAACGTACAGCAGCCGGAGTAAAGGAAAAGGGGCAACAAGTGTGATGATGCTTTTAACTGAAAAATTTGTATAACGTTTTTCCTTTTCTATACTCAAGAAAAAACAACAAAAAAAAATTCTGTAAATGTGTTTGTCAAAGTGATGATTATACAAATTTTTTTTTGTAATAAACATTTTTTTAAATAATTTTCACTTATTGAATTTCATAATGAATGTGTAACACGTCTTTTTATTTTCTTATTACATCAACTAAATAGTTTTGTATTTGACCTTGAAAAGTTATTAATGATAAAGAAAATTGTGTTGTTTTTTTTGCAAGTTTTGTAAATTTTTTAATTATTTACACAATACGTAAACTGTTGGCTGTTGAATTTTTCACAAATTTAAAACACTGAAATTTTGCTGCTTATGGTTTTGTAATTTTTTGCTTGACTTATTATTTTTTTTTAACTAACACTTGTATTTACAATTTTTTCTTATTATTTTTAAATAAAAAAAAAACAAATTTTTTTCTAATATTTATTTATTGTTTGAAACAGCATCACAACACCTGTATGTGTTGATGCTACAAAAGGCTTTGTTCTGGATACTTGGAGTTTCGACACCAAAAGATAGGCAATGAAAAATTTCTTTTCGCTTGTATAATTTTAGTATCAGAATGTGTGTATTGTGTATATGTGTAAGTGTTTGTACATGTATTTTGTTTTTGTTGCTTCTTAGCTTAAAAATAACAGTTTTGTATGTTTGTGGAATTGTAGGGAAACACTCTCCCACCCACTTACTCACACTCACATACATTTAAACAGACTTTTATGTGTAAATATACACACCAAAAAAAAGAGATTGGAAATTGATTTCCACAAATAATACGATGAAAATGAGTAGAGGAAACTGTTTAAAGAAGCAACAAAACAAAAAGAAAGCTTTAAGTTGGAATAACAACAATAATGAAACAATACTCGTGCTAAACTCCCAGAAAGCTTTAATAAATCAACCAACAACTCTCTCTCTCTATTTATCTCTTTGTAATAGTACATGCTGTATGTATGTGTGTGTGTGTCTTGTTTGGAAGTGTTTTTATTATAGAATTCTATAATTAAATTAAATTATTGGAAATATTTTATAAATAAAAATCATAATTTTATAATACTCACTCACTGTGTTTTCAATTCACTTACTACTCCCTGGCTTTTCATCTCTCTTTTTC